AAGGCACTCTTTTTCACAATTTATAGAAAAGATGTGCACAAAAAATATTGCCTTATTTTATGCGATATTTACCGCATATATAAAGCACACAATGGGATCAAATGATAGCAATTAATGGTATTTTTCACATGAATTGACCCTAAAATTAGATCTACTATTTGTTTGAAGACTCGATAGAAAAATGAGACAAAAAATATATTTATCTAAAGAATATTGTAATTTAGGACTCAATTTATAAACTATTTAAAACTCATTTTATTATAATTTACGACACAATTCAATATCCAATTCAAATATAATTAATACTAAAGTTAGAAGTAATTTATAAATTAATTTTAGACTAAAGTTTACAATTAATTTAACCGTTAATTTAAGCCTAAATTTATTTATTTTTATTATTAAATTAATATTCATTTGTTGTGTATATAAAGCAAATAATAACCATTTATTATTCAATTAGAAATCAACTTTTTTTAAAACTTTTATTTATTTAATTGTAAGACTAATAATACTGTATATAAATATCATATATATTTTGTTGATTTTATTAATGGATGTATGGATTGGCGGACATTTATCTCAATAAAAACAAATTCATAAATCAATTAAATTTATTTAAAAAATGGCTTTTATTTTATCTCAAAAGTGTTTTTAAACAATTCACTAATAAAGCTATGGAAATAAGTATTTCCACAAACAATATATACTCTCGATTCGTATGTTTAGTCGAAACAAACTCTTCAATCGTGTGGAAAAAACAAACAAATAAAACAAATAATATGTAAAACAATTGTAATCATAATTATTGAAAGAAAATCATTATTATTCAGTTAATTATTGGGCAGTATTTTGAATTAAATTTGTTGTTTTTGACACTAATTCCAAATCACATTCAGTGCATACACTTATTGTGTGTTTTAAAATATATATACGAAAGAAATATATTGTTTTTCAAATAAATAAATTTTATAACAAAACAAAAAATAAAACACTTTTTTGTTTCGAAACTATTATCATATCGACAGTCGTTTATATTCATCGGGGTTTTTGACGGATGGAAATCAATTTATCTCTGGTATCATTAGAAGCCGTGATTGACTATCGGTTGGGCGAAGAATCGCAAGAAATACTGTAATCAATCACTTCTCTGTTTCCGGGATTAAACAAAACAAAAAAAACTAACTTTTGCTCAGAAAATCAAATTAAACAAAAACTGATGACTGAATTGAGAATTATATCAAATTCCTATGCAATGATCGGGAAATGAGATTTAAGATAAATACTGATAATGTAATACAAATGAGATTTTCCTTTTCACACATACAGTAAACACACGCAATACAACCGATGCGTTCACGGCTTCTTCCGATCAATAGTTTTTAAGTGTATTTCATTTCTTGTAATATTTTGCGAATTAAAATCAGTTATACTTTTTTTGTTGTAAATAAATGTTATGTTTTTTTTTGTGTTTAAAGAAACGGAAAGTAATCAAATCAAAGGAATAAGACATAACTTTTTGAGTGAAAAATATTAATACAAGAAAACAAAAACGAGAATTTGATAATAAAATTAAAACTTCTATTAAATAATGAGATTTGATTTGTTGTGTTCTGTATTGTGTGTGAAAATCAAAGATCTTTACATTTGATACCATTTTTATGCGTTTTATGGATACCATTAGAATAATTGGTTTTATTGTTGCCGTTGTTGGCAATGTTGCCATTCTTCTGGTGTCCGTTCGACACTTGTTCGGTGCAGTCGAGAGAGCACATGGAGCCAAATGTTACTGACTTCGCTCCGCCGCTGCACTTGTTTTTATAGGCGTTTTTATAAAAGTCCCAAAATAGGAACCAGAATAAGACGGCGTGAAAGCCTATCCACCACATGAAACCGCGCGGATAATTGCATTCCCGGAACAGTAGTTGAAACGAGTGCACAAATATTAAGATAAATTGGACCTAAAATACAAACACAAAACAAATACTAGTGTCAGTGAATGGACAGTCGATATCTCGTTTGGGAACAGTTAGTGGTGAGAGACATACCATTTGAATAGTTGTCATATACTTCTTCCACCACAAATATTTATTCATTTGGGGGCCGATAGCAGACAATGCATAATAGATATACATTATAATGTGTACGAAACTGTTGACGAAGGCAAAGAAAGTGCTGTGTCCTCCGGGTGTGAACTTCACGCCCCACCAGACACTCATTGGCATCACTCCGTGGTGTATGACGTGTAGTGTCGAGACGTGCGTAAACTTCTTGCGTAACACGAAGAATATGGTGTCCGAGAACTCCAAGAACTTTGATATATAGTACCACCAGCTCAGGGACGCCATTGAGTTGGCCTCCACTGAGTTGGAGTAGTCGACCGGTTGGCACTTGTAGTTGTATTTACCGAACCAGCCGTAGAGACCCAGCTTTAGGAATATGTATAGACTGATGAATACCATCGAGAAGTTGTAGAAAACCATTAGAAAACGTATGTTATATGAGGGCCTGTCCTTCATTAGGGCCGGTCCCAGATATTTCACCAAATATACATATGACAGGCATATGCCCACCGTTGGCCACGGCGTCTGCATCATTGGCCAGTTTGACACCCGGGGGTCTACAGACACAGAAACACAATTATATTACGTTTTGATTTTATTTGTCTAGAAATAGTCAAATATTTGTATTCATATGCGGTTATCGACCGAAAATCGTTAAGCAGTGAAAGCAATCAAATGTTATTAAATATTCAGTCATTTGAATCGCTAGAGAATTAATTTTAGCGAATAAATGATTGTCAGCAGAAAAAGGCATTATATAATGTGCGGAGCGTTTGGACACAGGGGTTGGGCAGTGTTAGGGCGGGGCAGGAGATTGCGAGCGCATCCGAGGCTCTCCTTATCTGCTATTAATATTTTAAACCAATTTATATGAGGTATTAATAATAGCACATGTGGTGAGAATGTAAGATATGGAGGGGCGTTGGGGACACAGGGCTGGGCTGGGAATCGGGTAAATGTTTGTAAGGGCTTTACCTCCGTGTTCAAGGGTTGAGTTGTAGAAGTGTTTCACTCCGTCCACAACTATTTGAGCCATTCTTATAAACACCGGATTTCAGTTCACTCTATCGTCTCCGCAATGTTTGTCCAAAATCTATGAATCAATACATAAAACACAATCACTATATATATTACACTGCATTATGTAATAGCAGATCAATACAAATCCAATACATTTATGTGTTTGCGCTTAGACTCAGAGTGTCTGCAAAATTAAACTTTGACTTTTGTAATGTTTTTGATTCTCTCTCTCTCTCTCTCTCTCTCTCTCTCTCTCTCTCTCTCTTCTAAATTGACTCTAATTGAGAAATTAATGTCATTTTAGAGACATTTGAAACAGAATTTTGTGACAACTTATCAATAATTAGCGAAAATATCATTTGAAAAGACAATAATTAAACAATAAATGTCTTACGAGAAAAATCCAATTCTCAAACAATAAACTTTTTTATTATTATTGTAACGACTTTTTTATCACGATTTTTCACGAATTCAATTCTTGAGATACAATTCATCAAACATTTAATTCAATGCCTAATATAAAGGGAGTGAGAAAATCGAGATATCCTTATAAATAGAGAGTATCAGCCCTTCAGGTATTGGCAAAAAACTTAACCATTTATTCAATTAGCAAAAAAAATTCGGTTAAGTTTGAGATATGGATAGAAGTTTGGGTGCATTTCAGGTCATCATTTAGGTGTGCATTGGTTTTCACATATTTAACATATTTATAATTATTTTAGATTTTTTGCGCACAAAAAAGTCAATACATTTTCTCGCAAAACCAATACAGAAAAAATTGTTATCAAAATAGAAAAATTGTTATTTTATTTTCTCTGCACTCGAAGTGAGAAATATTGAAATCAATACAAAAAATAAATATTGAATAGAAATAACTGTTTGCTGTGATTGAGAGGAGACGACCAGCGAATAAAAAACTGGTTTACGTTTTATAATAAAATGTAATATATTTTTAATTATGTATTATATTCTTTGGGGTCTATTATTATAACTCTAAAAACCGGAAAATAGTGTATAAACTGTGTTTTCAGTGCCTTTTTTGGCCACAAATCCGATGTCTCACTGTATGTATGGATACATCACATAATTGAAGAGATGGTGTATTATATTGCATATGAAATATGTATAATATTTGTGTGCATATAATGGGGGGACAGACATGACCGGCACCGGCAGGTCTCACACCTATTGATTAATCTAATGGCAAATACATAAGACATAAATGCATTGAATAAGTCATTCATTATATGATATAATAATGACATGATTTGTATGATTGATAGGATTGTCATACATTATAATGAGTACAGAATATACACATATAATACCTTATGAATGGGAATGATGGTGATTAAATGCAAATAACCTTGCTCGTTTTTCGGTTCCAATGGTAATATAATGGTGAAAAACGTGAAGTCTATGTTTGATTAGAAATCAACTAATAATTGAAAAACTATTACAACGACTGAAGCGAAACATTATTATTATTTCAAAATCAATATTCAATTGTCTTTTTATATGTAATATAATTTTTTTGGTCACAAAATTGTTTGCATATATTGTCAGACCGTTTGGTAATGATATTCAATAGCGATATATCTCTTGATTTATAGTAAATATATTGACCGAAAAAAACACTGATTTTATATTTTATACACAAATTATAAATCACTTTTCAAAACGACGAGACATTCACTGATGAACACAATTATTATTATAAATATTATATATTATGTAATAATGATATCACAAATATAGCCCAAAACCATATATGTATGTAAAAAACGAGTCAATTATTAAATTTCACAAACATTTCATCAAAAATTTTTCGATACTTTTCAGGTTTTGACGATAAATATTGACTTAAATTTAAATAATTAGTAAATATGACAATAATATGATGATTATTATGAATCCTCTTTCCTCTTGACTCTCGTATATATAAATATGGATATAATGTGAGAACCGATGGTTAGTATGGGTTGGATATACTGGAGTCGAGCCAACACTTTGGATGCTTAGCCGCAAAAGCACTCGACGTATGGATTGAATGGCAAATTAAAGCCGTTATTATATAACTATAATATTATAATAATAAGAGTATTAATAATTGCTTAGAAATAATTTCATCGATTGGCGACAACATTGGGATTGTATTGACTACTCATACGATATACTGGATGTATGGATAGGATGTCTGTCCGTCTGTTGTAACGCTTGTATGGCATTCACTTCATTCACTCGTATAGTCTGTGCGCTTGGGATCGCTCTCCAGCTCTCGCAACACAAGTCAGCGCTGGAAACACAACCACTCCATACATGCCTTACTCTAACCTACAGTCATATTATTACATACATTCACTCTATGTCTGTGGCAGTGAGTGAGTGTGTCTGTGAGCGAGAGAGATAGGGATGGGAATGAAGCCCAGGAATGGACACCCAATTGCTATTTATACACAATGTATAGTAAGAAAATATGAGTCGTT